TGTAAGGTTTAGGGTTCAGGGTTTTATGGCCGAGGGCTTAGGTGCAGTGTTTTTCCCGAGGCAAGAGGCTTGCGGCACCCCTTGAACTTGTTCCTGTCCCCATAAACAAAGCCGTAAATAGGAGCCTTTTTCTGGCTGTGAATTCCCCATGTTCGCTCCTGTAAGGCGCTCCTGTAAGTAGTAAGGAGAGCTTCAGAACAACCCCCGATAGATGGGCAGACAGTTTCCTGAACTTCGGGGGTTTGCGGCCCGATAGAAAGCTTTCTCAACCCATCCACTGACAATTTCCCGAATTGCCGGGGGGTTGTGAAAAGCCCATATACCCTAAACCCTAAACCCTAAACCCTAAACCCTAAACCCTAAACCCGAAGCCCGCTGCCTTTTTCAACATCAGCTGGCCCGGTCCTACCAGCGACACCTGGGCGAGGACAAGGCAACAGGGGGTTATAGGGTTCAGGGTTCAGGGTTCAGGGTTAAGGGTTTAGGCTTTAGGGTTTAGGGCTTAGGGTTTCAGGGTTTCAGGGTTTAGGGTTAAGGGTTTAGGGTTTCAGGGTTCAGGGTTTAGGGTTTAGGGTTTTGGGTTTAGGGTTCAGGGTTTCAGACTTCAAAAACGAGCACTGTATAAGTGGTACAGGATCTCTCGCTCATGGCTCTTCCTGAGGTAAACGGTGCAGGAAGTCTGACTGCGCCGGCCCCCAAACCCTAAGCCCGAACCCTAATCAGGCCCTAATCCTTCACCCTAGTGTAGGGGCCTTAAAAATAATTAGACTAGGGTTTTGGGATATATTATACTATAATAAGGAACCGCCAAAAAAGTATAGGTAATATATAATAAATAAGGCCCCTACATTAGTCAAGGATGTGCTGCGTGCGACCAGGAACATCGGGTCCCGACAAATTAGTTTCCCGCTTAGCGTTCCTTCAAAGGGAATCCTATTCCTAAAGGAGGGGCCTGCCTGTTCAGGGTTCAGGGTCTAGGGTTCAGGGTTTAGGGTTTAGGGTTTAGGGTTCAGGGTTGGTTTCAGGGTTCAGGGTTCAGGGTTCAGGCTTTAGGTTGAAGGTTTAGGGTTTAGGGTTTAGGGTT